TTGGCTGTGTTTGTAGTAATTGGTCCCTAGTGCCTTGGGTTGGAAGATGTTTTAATATACAAAATGAAAATGCTTCTTGTTTCCAGTGATGGCTTGTCCTCTAATTTGGGTGACAGAAACATCTCCCAGATCTAGAATTATGGTGTTATTTTGGAGATAGTTCACCTCCAAGGGACTCCTGTTTCACTTATCTTTGACAAAAGAAGACAAGCCTTTATCAGATTTTTGGTAGTGCCAAAACTTCTAAAAGATACTATTATTCTACTTTGAATTTGCCTTCTTAAAGAAAGTCTTGGTGGAAAATGTGTTTTTTGCTTATATCAAACAATAAAAAGTTATGCTTTGAAGGAAATAATAAATTAGACTTTTAATATTTGATTTAAGTAACATTTACCTGCCACAAATCTGTAGTACCACTGGACAAATCATGCCCAGTATTTTACCTGTTGTTGTTGGAGCAGGAAACTGCAGAATGAATACGAGTGAAGGTATCTTTAAATTTTAGGCCGTGAAGGACCTTACAGGCCTAGAAACAATATGGCCATACACAAAGAAGTGATCAATCATGAAAAGACCACCTTATCAGGTCATGGGCAACTTTCTCTACCTGCTCTTCTTGGTTCTCTTCTTAAGGTCATCTCACCAGCTTGTTTCTCCCATACCCCATACGGTATGAAAACTTAGTATATCAACAAAATTTGGAGGTGATGTATATATAATTGCTTTGTGTACGGCCATATTTAGATACATAAATATATATAATCTCCACCTTCTTTGAAAACAGGAATGTGGCTATTGCTTATTTGAAGCACAGACCATACAGGTCTTAAAATTTGGCTATTCGAAAATGGTCAGACAAAAATACAATGAATGTGTATCATACTGCCACAAACTATAGGGCTGACCAAATAACAAATTTGATTATAATGATACATTAAAATAGCAGTAATTTATAGTTAGTAAACAAGAATAGCAGCATATACAACCTATTACCATCTCAAGACAACACAGATAACAAAAGCACCCTTTCTCAAAGTTATGGTACATCTACTACCTATTTCTTCCCGTTCAGAGCAGGAACATTGCAGCATTGGTAGGCGTGGTCTGAAGCCAAAGTTTTCTTGGAGCAGTTTGGGGTAGAAGGGCACATTGCTTCTGTGGTATTCATCCCAATAATGCATAATAGAATCAGTCTAATCATGAGAAAATATCAGATAAGCCCAAATCGTGAATCATTCTACAAAATTTCTGACCAGTGTTCTTCAGCAGTGTCAGGTAATAAAGGACAAGGAAAGACCGAGGAACTGTCATAGATTAGAGGAGACTAAGGAGCTATGACAAATACATGCAATATGGGATCTGGGATTGAATCCTGGAATAGAAAAAGGACATTAGTGGAAAAACTGGAGAAATCCAAATAAAGTCTGTAATTTAGTTACTACTAGTTAGTAGTATTGTATTGTATAACATTGTTAATTTTTTAGTTTCGGTAATTGTACTATGATTATCTAAGATTTTGGCATGAGGGGAACGAGGGTGAAGGATATACAAGAACCTTCTATTTTTGCCCCTTTTCTGTAAGTCTAAAATTATTTCACAGTACAAAATTGAAAAAAAGCACTTTTATTTAGTAATGTGTGAACATTCTGCAATCACTTAGCATTCAAGAATGTATGTAAAAATCTCGACTTAGCCAACCTCTTCAGCATGTGTCCCCCCGACACACATATTTTAATGTTCTAGCCAAACTAGATTACTGGTGGTTAATTAGCTCCTTTGGGAGGGGGAGAAGAGTAATACAATTTTTGTATATATTACAGAGTATTTATAACCAATGTAACAACTAGCTGTGTACACCTCATTTTAAGAAATACAACAATGCAGTGAAGCCCCACTGTGTTCCCTTCCTTTAGGGCATTCTGCCCCTCTCATCCCCTTCCATCACCACCACCAAACTGCCACCACTTGGAGATAATCAATGGAACTTGCTATTTACTAATCCTATTTTGTTACTTTGCTCTTTTCCAAACTTGACATAAATCTCACCCTACCATATCTACAACTTGCTTTTTTTGCTCCACCTGTATGTCTAACTCATTCTTTTTCACCACTGTATGAATACTCAGTATTTATCCATTCTCCTGCTGGCAAGCATATTGAGAGTGTTATTCATTTATTATTTATTTATGTATTCATTTTTAAAAGTGTTTTCTGAGACTAAGAGAGATCTTTACTTCTTTCTGAACTCCGGTAACACTATCCGCAACTTCTAACTTATCCTTTGCGACCTTCCGTTGTAATAATTTTTCTTTTCTCTTGTATCAGATGGAAAGCTTCTTGAGGATCTGATTCCCCAGGATGAACATTATTGGGATAATAAGGATTTAATTTTGTTGAATGAATAAGTAAATACTGAAATAAATTAAGTAATGTCTACATACAGATCTTGGGCACATTTGTGTTTATTCACTTAGTTGTTATATGGCATTGCCTCCTGGGGACTTCTGTTAGAAAGATCTATGCAATGTGGGAAACTGGGCACTGAGGTGGAAATGTGGAGCATAAATAAAGCCTAAAAGTTTAATATGAGAAATTATATGCCAAGTTTGCAGCCAACACAGGTACAGGTTTTTTGTGTTTAACACCCTGGGGGAAAGTTTGACAAAATGAGTAATAATTTTGCCTGCATTTGGCGTTGCCAAGCAGAGGGAAGCTCACTAATTTATATTATGGCAGAACTTTTGCTTTTGTTCATCGTTCTGTTAGAAAGCTTAGTTAGGATTTACTTTTGATCATTTCACATTTGTACCCAGAATGGGGTTGCACAAATTAGTTCTTTTCCTCTAAAATTATCTTATTTGGATGTTGATCTTACTCTACAAAAACACTCAGCAGGTTTCACAGCTCTCTTGTCTCTCTTATTTGATTTGTACAAGAGCTTTGACAGAGATAAGCAGGGCTAGTATCGTCTGTATTTTACAGGTTAGGGACCCTGGAAAGGAGGCTGAGAGAGGTTGGAGGACCTGCTGAAGGTCACAGAACAAAACCAGAAACCAGATCTTTTAACCTAGTCCTGTTCTGTCCAGACATTGCAGTTTCAATGCGTAAAATAAGTGACAGTATTAATCAAATGTTATTTTTTTGCCAGCATTTTATTAGATAATTCAGTAACATAATGCCCACGTGACAGGTCATCACAGTAAGATGGGGAAAAAGTCTCATCAGTGTTAGTGGTGGATTAGTAACTGCCTTTTTGCTGCCCTCTTTGTTAGAAGGGTTCGAAGTAAAGCTTAAACCAAACATTGCAAAAAAGCATGTCAGGCCTGGTGTGTGTGTTAAAGGAAAGAAAAATCTTATAAGTAGAATGGATAGGAAGGTGTGACACAACCTGAAGTTAAAATATGTGAGAAGACAAATGGCTTTTTGATAGCTTCAGACCCACAGGTGAATTAAAACCTCTCGGCATATGGACTAGTGCAGTTGATCACTCAAATTGCAATTTTAAAAAATGCAGAAGCAGTACACTTAGAATATTGTCTTCATGTCAGAAATGCACCTTCATGCTTGAAAATGATAAAAAATTACAATCGATCTTTACAACTGTTCTGTTCATCTTTATTGATCAGGTGCAAGAAAGATAAATCGCAGCCCAAATAAGATTATGGTAAATGTTAGCGTCGTATAGGACTCTAGGTTGATAGAGAGCCATTCATCATCTCAAATGGTGACCTGTCCATTGCTGCAGTCACCCTGAGTCTGCTGTCTAATCACATACCTATTGATTTTATCTACATCCAACAAACCTGGATGTGACTGTCATTGGGCAACCCGGATTGTTAAATGCAAAGGGGTCACTGGTGTGAAGAGGATTTCATTTTCATTTTCTCACCAACCAACAATGATTTATTAAAAAATAAACTACCTCAAGTCATGCATGTGAACCCTGAGTGATTAGGGAATGAAGGTGCACGATAAACCACTGTCTTGTGTTGAGTTCTTTTATACTGCAATGCGTTTTACAGGACTTCATTGAGTCTGAGGGGTCATAGGGTCATTTAGGCCACTCCCTGCAGTAAGATGGGTTTCAGAGTAGCCAGCCAGAATGGATAATTTTTAATTTTGCTGCCCAGGAAAGGCATTACTTTGCTATTGCAACTTCATTTGTGTTGCTTTGTCTGTTCATTCATGTAACAGTGAAAATTTTTTTTTTTTTTTGAGGAAGATTAGCCCTAAGCTAACTACTACCAGTCCTCCTCTTTTTGCTGAGGAAGCCTGGCCCTGAGCTAACATCCGTGCCCATCTTCCTCTACTTTATATGTGGGATGCCTACCACAGCATGGCATGCCAAGTGGTGCCATGTCTGCACCGGCGAAACCCCAGGTGGCCAAGAAGCGGAACGTGCAAACTTAACTGCTGTGCCACCAGGCTGGCCCCTGGAAATATTTTTTATGTAAAAATTACCTAAATCTGCCCCCTTGTTTTTACTGATTAATTTATTATAAATATTGATGGTCTTGTGGTCACGTGGAGGTGAGAGAACACATTCTATTCCATAGAGTATCCATCTTGAGGACAAAAGCACTGTGTAAAAAGAAATGATCATTTAATATGCTAGGTGGAACACTGGAATAATAGGCAAATGTTACATGTGTGAATTTCATTATTCAGTCTCAAGCATCCTTTGATCTTGCAATGGTAGATTCCAAATAAGGGAGATGTAAATAATCTTTCAAAAATATCTTAGGAATTTTCTCAGAAGGATCAAATAATGATGAATTATAACTATGAAAGTTTACTCTGTAATTACAACCAACTGTACTATTATTTAAATGGATACCTTTACGTGTAATTTTATAAGTTTCCATGCCACATATTTGAGAAATCTCTCTCCTGCTTGAGTGGGTGAAACACGATTTTGTGTATTTTTTTGTAATTGTAAGTCTTATACACATTTTGTCCTCTTGGATAATGAAAATTCTACTATCAATCTTTATCCACAGAGCTCAGAGTTCTACAAAGTCACCACTGAACAATATCAGAAAGCTGCTGAAGAGGTGGAAGCAAAGTTCAAGTAAGTTTTTAATAGTATTATAATTATTTACTCTTCTTGACAAGCTGAAAGTACAACCTTATTGCTTGTTGAACAGAAGACGGTTATGTAGCCCTCTGGAATACTTGGAAGGGTGTTGGATGGGTGAGATGGATCCCTGGAATTCAGATGCAAAGAAAGGGCATTTGATGAAAGCTTGTTGCAACTCAATTTTATGAACTAAGGGAAAATTGAAAGCAATGGTAATAGAATTTTCATTTGGAGTAATATATAAGAGAGATTGCCCTTGTTTATGAAGCTGATGTTAAATTGCTATCACTATTAATAGAAACATAGAAACCATTCACTTTTGTATAATGAAATGATGGGCATGTCCAGATTTGGGTATCCACCTTTCTCATATTTAAGCTGTTTTCATTTCTTCATATGTACCTTGAAAGCATTTAAATCACAGACTTTACCTTGCCCTTGGTAATGAAGGCAATATTAAATTGTTACCTCTGTTAATCCTTGGAATGTTTAAATGAATGTTCTGTAATTGATGGATCAAAGTGTCCATGACCCCTAGCCCTGTACTTTCCCTTTGCTGCCACTTCTCACATTAGGTAAGAACACATCATTCAGAATTTTCCTGAGTGTATAAATAGTTCTATTGTGTAACCCCTGTTAATAGCACATGCATAAATTAGTGAAGCGAAAAAAGGTATTGTGACAGATTTAGTTAAAAGATTGCATTGGGCTCTGACCTCTTTCCTTGCACATGTTTATAAGCATTTGATAGAATGATTAAACCCTAAGGTAGAACATTATTACTTTCTGTTGTAGTGTAATTTATGCGGTAATGGATATTAGTGTTATCTTAATGTTGACTTAAAAAAAAAGATGTTTTTTTAAAGATGGTTTGCGGTTTATTTAAATAGACAAAAACTCCAGTCTTCCTTAGTAAATTATCTCACTAGGGGCAGTTAGGACGAGACTTTCTAAGAATGGGCCACAAATCTCACTCTTAAATATTAATGTGCTATCCTAAGAACTTAGAGATAGAATTGGATGTAGATTTGATTTTAAAAGATACTCTACCTATGTATTTTAAAGTTATGTTTTTTTTATTTTTCTCCGTAGTGATAAAGTAACATTTCTTTAACCTTTTTGTCTCTATACTATAAGAACTTTTGACTTGGCACCCTAAGTATTTCTGCATTGTAGGATGATAACTATACAGATAACTAAAATTTAAGATAAATCAAAGGAGATCAATTCTGACTAGAATGATCTATGAAGTCATCATAAAGAAGATATTTTAGTCGAAGCTTAAAGAAGAATATTGAGTAGGTAGAAAGGAAAGGTATTCAGGAGGAAAATCATGCTCCATTTTGGGTGGATGACACATTAGTTAAGATCAATGGTTTGACTCAGGGAGGCTAGTGCCAGATAAAATTGGAAAGGTCAGTAGGGTCATTCGTTAGCTGTTAGGCTAAAAAGTTGTTCTTCATTTAACAAGAAGTCATTGGAAGGCGTTTGACCAAGTCAGTACCCTGATGTCTGTGCTCCTTTAGGAATGTTAATCTGACTATGTATGTGAGGTTTGATTGGAGGCATGAGAAACAAGAAGCGGAAGTAACAGATGAGAAGTCTCTCTAAGTGAAAGAGAAAAGAAAGAGATAGATGCAAAAAAATCATTGAAAGATTAGGCATGAATTAGTGATTGATGGATGTATTAGCTTGCTAGGGCTGCCGTTACAAAGTACCACAGACTGACTGGCTTACACAACAGACATTTCTTTCCTCACAGTTCCAGAGGCTGGCAATGGAAGATCGAGGTGTCCGCAGGGTTGGTGTCTTCTGAGGCCTCTCTCCTTTGGTTGCAGATGGCCGTCTTCTCCCTGGGTCTTCACATGGTCTTCCTTCTCTGCATCTGTGTCCTAATTTCCTTTTCTTATAAGTCACATTGGATTAGGGCCCACCCTAATGACTTCATTTAATTTAATTACCTTATAAATGACTTAATTACCTCTTTAAAAACCCTCTGTCCCAATACTCTTTCAGAATACTGGGTATTAGGACTTCAACATCTGAATTTTGGGGTGACGCAATATAGCCCATAACGCTTGGATCGAAGGGGCAAAGGAGAACCAGAAATATGAATGTAGGAGAGTGGAAAATTGGTAGAAACTTGATTTTATATATAGAGAGAAATCTGGTTTTAGATGAGAAGAATCTCTTGTCTGAAGTCTTGCCCAGTTGCCATGTCATTCAGGCTGGGCTAGCCTACTGGAGAGTGAGAGGCTACGTGGAGCACAAAAACAAATGTCACAATGACTTACCTTCTTCAACACAGCATGAACCTGTACCTTAGACTTAGTTTTAATGAGAGCCTCAGAAGCATCATTCTCTTATCTTTTTAAGATATTCTTTATTAGATCCTACTCATCTGGTATAGTAAAGAATTTGGTTCTCAAAGAGAAGTCTGGCCTTTGGATCCAGCTCTTGGGAGATGACGTCTAAGCCCTTGGAATTTCCGAGTGATACAAGTGTCATCTTATTCGTGATGGGCCCATTGGGTCCTGCGGTATCAGCCCAACCTCTGGGAAGTAGTGCTAGAGACTGAATTTGACGTGTGGGTAATCAAGCAAGCCTGTGTCTTGAGGCCCCAATGAAACTCTGGCCATGGAAGTCGGGTGAGCCTCTTGTTGATAATCCTCTGTACATATTGTCACACATTGATACCAGGAGGGTAGCACATCCTGAGGACAATGGAAACTTTGCATTGGAACCCTCCCAGACTTTGTCCTGTGTATCTCTTCCTTTGGCTGATTCTCTGCATCATTTTCCATAAGAAGCAGTAACTGAGTTTACTGGCTTTCTGTGACTTCTGTGAGTTCTGTTAGGGAATTATTGATGCGTAGGGTGGTTTGGGGACCCCCTTGAACTTGCAGATAATGTCAGATGTGCGGACAGTCTTGGGGACTCTGCCCTCAGACTTTGCCATTGTGGTAACTCCAGTATAAACAAAAACCCAGGTTTGACACGCAGTGGAGGAATTTCAAGAGCTAGCTTGTCAGAGTGGCTTTCATTATATCATTTTTTTCAGCTGCTACTTGTTAGACTGAACTTCCTAGAATGCTGTAGTTCAGTTTGCAATGAGTTCATTAACTGCACACCTGAGAAGTGATAGTGTTTTGGCTAGAAGAGTTGCTTACCGTCTCAAGGCACGGAGATTACTCAGTGGAACCTTGTTTCTCCTTAGAAATTTGGCCATCTCGGATAATCATGACTGCTTCAATCTTTTGCAAGTTAGTATACGATATTCTTTCCATAGCGTGACAGAGCTGATCTCAGCAGTCCCTCTTAGTAACAAGCTCTGAAGGACTTTGAGGAAGATTTAGTTAATTTTATCTGATGGAAGGATTCATTTGGGTGCATCTTGGTTACAGGAGATGGAAGCTTTTTAAATTGCAATTTCAAGGGCAATATTATACACCTGATAGGGGGTCACACAAAATCACTGTAAAGAGAAAGCAAGCTAAGAGCATTTGAGGCAGCACATGATGAACCCCAGCCACATTGATGCATCCTGCCAGGACGGCTAATGGAATTATTCTAGGGATCCTTAAATATTAACTCACACTTCAGTCCTTCAGTTTAAAATGTTGTCAGTAAACCATTAAAACACCTTAGATTTAATGGAATATTTTTTCCTATTTTATCAACACGCCATTCATTCATAACACTCCTATGTGACATGCCCTGTGCTGAGTTCTAAATACACAGCTGTGAAGGAGATAAGTAGGGTCTTCTATTGCCTTTATCACACGTTGTTATTATCTGTTAAGTAGAGCAACTTATGGTACTGGTTCGTAGTTATATGGTGCTAGGACCGTGTTTTATAGCTCTTGAAAATTACGTTCTGTATTAATCCTTATTTGCCACCATAAAGGTAATTAAACAAAATACTATATTAAATAATGTTGCATTGATAGTGGTTAGCACAGGTCTAGAACAAGGTTAATGCTTAACAGATAATGGGTTTTATTTTTATTATATATGATATATATTGTAATAATGTTATTATGTCCAACTCAAGTTATGAAACTATGCATCATGGGATAAATTTATGTACGTGTTTCCAAACAAAATCTAGATGATGTTAAACCCTCCAGAAAAACGTTAGAATGAGTTCTTATGTTTAGGGAGCTCCCAGCCCAGCTAGGAGCCAGCACACAGAGCACCCATGGCAGCACAGCACAGGAAGGGATGCGTCAGAGCACTACAGACTGGATGCCATGAGGACCCTATTTCTTGGTCAGCATCAGAATCAGATCTCTTTGGGTGGGTTAGAGCCAGTATTCCACACCTACAGAAAGAAAACGTCGTTCCTAGAGTGTTATGTACTCACAAATTGTTTTTAAAATATAAAAACAAATACCAAGCAAATGTAGGGTGAATATCAAAGAAATGTGAAATATTTTAAAGGCAATGTAAACCTGGTGAAGACAATGTAATATCAAACAAACAACAAGCATTTTAAAGACGATTGCTATTTCATTCCCATGCTGTCCTTTAGATAATGAAGTGGCCAGTTTCTGTCTTCCATAAAGGAGAAAATATGTATATGGGAAGTGACGTAGATCTATTGAAAATACTTTTGGAATGCTTTCATGAGAGGTCTGACTTTGCCTTGACTTCAGTTTCTTTGAGAGATGACACACTTGTAAAGGAGTATGATTCTATGAAATCATATATGAAAACTGGTAATTCTGCTTTGTGTGCAAGACTTTAGAAGGGGTTTTCGCTGGTATCCTTGAACGAAGTTGTTGAAACCTGACTTAGAAATTGAGGCTCATGTTAGAGGCCTCATATACAACAACGTATTAAAAGATTAGTTACTCTGTGGAAGAAGTTTAGGTGATTTTAGAGTATCCGAAGAATGCTATGCAAAACTCTTGACAGATAAAATGGATTTTCTAAGTATTACCATATATTCAAAGGTTTTCTTCAATGTAAAATCTTTTAACTTTAAA